CCCTGAAATTTTGGGGGGGGGGATCACTTTTGGTGATGTGTGTGTCCCCCCCTCCCCAATCCAGCCCCGAGCTGGAGGAGCCCTACGCCAGCGAGGAGGAGCAGCACCGGCTCTTCGACCTCTACCACTACCTGCACAGCCGCGTCCACAGCCCACACCGGCCCCTGCGCCTCCTCTACCACGTGGCCGAGAAGGAGACGCTGCTGGCCTGGGTGAGCCGGGGGCGAGGGGGGTCTGGAGGCTTCAGAGTTAACGGGGGGAGTCACTGGAAAAGTCACTGGAAAAGTCGTCAGTAGGTTCCAGAGTTAACGGGGGGGGGCGGGTCACTGGAAACGCCATCAGTAGGTTCCAGAGTTAACAGGAGGGGTCACTGGAAACGCCATCAGTAGGTCCCAGAGTGAACAGGAGGGGTCACTGGAAACGCCATCGGTCAGTAGGTCCCAGAGTTAACGGGGGTGGTCACTGGAAACACCATCAGTAGGTTCCAGAGTTAACAGGGGGGGCAGGTCACTGGAAACGCCATCAGTAGGTCCCAGAGTTAACGGGGGGGGGGTGCCACTCACCGGCGGCGGTGCCGTGGTCAGTAGGCTCCAGAGTTAACAGGAGGGGTCATTGGAAACACCATCAGTAGGTCCCAGAGTGAACGGGGTTAAGGTGCCACTCACCGGCGGCGGTGCCGTTGTCAGTAGGCTCCAGAGTTAACAGGAGGGGTCACTGGAAACGCCATCAGTAGGTCCCAGAGTGAACGGGGTTAAGGTGCCACTCACCGGCGGCGGTGCCGTTGTCAGTAGGCTCCAGAGTTAACAGGAGGGGTCACTGGAAACGCCATCAGTAGGTCCCAGAGTGAACGGGGTTAAGGTGCCACTCACCGGCGGCGGTGCCGTTGTCAGTAGGCTCCAGAGTTAACAGGAGGGGTCACTGGAAACGCCATCAGTAGGTCCCAGAGTGAACGGGGTTAAGGTGCCACTCACCGGCGGCGGTGCCGTTGTCAGTAGGCTCCAGAGTTAACAGGAGGGGTCACTGGAAACGCCATCAGTAGGTCCCAGAGTGAACGGGGTTAAGGTGCCACTCACCGGCGGCGGTGCCGGGGGGGGGGTCACGGGTAACACCGTCAGTAGGTCCCAGAGTTAACAGGAGGGGTCACTGGAAACACCATCAGTAGGTTCCAGAGTTAACAGGAGGGGTCACTGGTAACACCGTCAGTAGGTTCCAGAGTGAACAGGGTTAATGGGTCACTCCCTGGCGGTGCCACCAGTAGGTCCCAGAGTGAACAGGGTTAAGGTGCCACTCACCGGCGGCGGTGCCGTGGTCAGTAGGCTCCAGAGTTAACAGGAGGGGTCATTGGAAACACCATCAGTAGGTCCCAGAGTGAACGGGGTTAAGGTGCCCCTCACCGGCGGCGGTGCCGTGGTCAGTAGGCTCCAGAGTTAACGCGGGGGGGCCGGGTGTCCTCCCCGGGGCGCAGGTGACCAGCAAGTTCGAGCTGTACGGCTGCTTCAGCCCGCTGGTGACCAAGGCGGGGGCCATCGGGGTGCTGACCAAGCTGCTGCGCTGGCTCAAGAAGGAGGAGGACTGGCTCTTCATCCGCTCCCCCCCCCCGTACCCCGCCGGCCCCCCCGGCCCCGAGGGGTGAACCCC